TAGGCATAGGAAGTTTTTTCCGGGGGAGGACCCCCATCCCCCGTTCTCTTTGGGTTCATCGATTAATGGAAAAAAGAATACGTGTGCAACTACTTAGTTTTGTTTTATGTACGTACACACATAATTGGCCTATTTACTGTAATAAGAAAGAAAAAGTTAACCTGACCGTTTTCAAGCGTAGCAAAACCTTGAATTTTGAAGAATTTTGAAAAAGTCATTAAAAGTCGGGAAAGCCCATTTCCCGCCATCTAGGAATCAATATTTTCACAGGGAAGGCCCCCGAACTCCCTTTCTTTTTGGGGTTTTTTAACCTTCCCCCCCCCCTCCTAAATTTGAACCCAGATTCGCACACAATGCAACGGTCGGTCTCAAATTCATCTCAGCTCTGTGTGAGCGGTTGACGGCGGAATCGGTTGCTGAGCGTATCGTCATTGCGTCATTGACGCAGAGTGGTTTTTCATAAGCTCTGTCAACACTATTAAATTGTCATTGACAAAAAACGGTTGTATGCCCAATTAAATAGTCTGGACAAGTCTCATAGTTATGATGTGCCTATATATGGTCATGATGTGATGTCATCATGACCATATTTAGGCATGTCACATGTTTTTGTCAAGTAACATTTGATAGTCTGGACGGGGTATTGGTTTTTTTTCAGATTTTTTTTGGCAGTAACACTTAATGCAGTGACTGGTTTTGCAGCTTACAGACTTGCTAGGTACGTCCGTCTATGCGATACGTGATATGTTTATGGTAAACTACATGAATAATAGTGCTCATATGTTATTTCAATGGGCCTTTAGGCTATATGGGATAGTATCTATTGACAACTAGAGCAGTCACTCCATAGAGTGCATACCCCGCACTGTGATACGGAATTAGGCAAATGATAGGGAATTACCCAAATTATAACCCAAATGACTCTGTTAATTCGTTTACCAATCACCAAACTAAAAATTAAATATGATGTTAGTAGCCCCAGGCTACTATAAAATTTATTATAATAATTTCTAACATAGGCCTAGGCCTTGCCTTTATATACTGCATATAATAGGCCTATGTATTAAATATTATTATATTTATTATTATTATTTTAATATTATTATTGATACTATTAATAGTATCACCATTTATTTATTTGTTATTTATTTGTTTATTCAAGATAAAACAGTGTGTCAAAACACCAAAAACAAGGTCGCCATTAAAATACAATATGATAAGCATTATTATGTTTTTATTTTTTATTGCTACTATTAGTATTGTTATTACTTATTATTATTAATATTATTATTATTATTATTATTATTATTATTATTATCGGTATTATTCAGTGTATTTATTAGTAGAATCTTAAGATACCTTTATAAAATAATCTATTGTATGAATATAAAACAAAATAACATATACGAATATTACTGATTTATCCGGGTGCATTTAATTCAAACTGGCTACATTCAAAGGTTGGCTTACCACAGCGGGTTTTTTTTTTCAATAAACTTAGCACTTTGAAATTAAACAGGCGTACTACTGCTATTTCTGGTAAACGTTTTTTGTCAAATGTTTATTTCAGATTGGCAACGCCCAGTATATTTTTCAATGAACATCGCGCCTAGCAAAACTTACAATAATAGCCAACTATGCATTTCACACAAGGAACACCCAACCACTTTTTCTTTAATATAACAGAAAAACATGGAGATATGTACATAGTTTTTATTGAATTTCTTATAAAAATTCTGAAAGTTTGTGTTTGTTTATTGATTTATTAAGTCGCAAGATCAAGCAGCCTCTGGCTAACTTCTTAACTTTTATTGGATTTTCTGGATATAGCGTCATACATATCGTGTCTTGGTCTAACCACAAGCAATGATGCATATGGTGAATTTCAAAATACATAAATATGTTATTCATTTAAACTAAAATTAGTATTAAAACCTGAGCCTAAACACGCCCGATATGTACATATTTAATTAGCCTACGCAAGAAATAATTTAAACACATATTTAACAGAAGTGACGCCTTCATGAATAAAGAAATAATTTATGTCACAAAAATATTCAAATAACGTTAGAAACAAATGAAACGAATGAATGAGTTAGATAAAATATCACGAACACGTACATTAAAAACATCATAGCATTAAACAAGTAATCAAAACCATTACGAATAAATTGGACTAATGAATACTGTATGTTAAAATTACGAAAGTTGTCACGTTAGAAATACTAAAACGAAATGGTTTGGACTATAACATACACTGTACTGTCAGTTATGAATAAATGAATAACAAATTATTTGAAAGTAATAAATACATCGATATATGAGCGATGACGTAATCTAGGCCCATGTTAGAAATTTTTATAAATTATATACAGTAGATAGGCCTATTTGATAGGCCTATACTAACATCATATTTAATGTTTAGTATAAACAATTATTATAATACAAGTTACTGGTAATAAATGGTATCATCCATCCACAGAGTAACTGAAATTAACAACAAACAATGATGTTGGTGGATTTCAAAATACTTTTAAGCATTTAAACTAATATCATTTTTAACAAGAGGAATAAACTATACAACTGTGTACCATGATTAAATCATTTTTTTTAAATGTCAAACGTAAAGGCCTGAATATTTCGGAAATTAGAAAAGATATTATGGTGGATTATTTATGAGTGTCCGACATTATTTGCTACGCTAGAAAAATTTACATCTACATGAATAAAAAATTGAATACTCAAAGGCCGTTATAAATAAATAAACTAAATAAATGAAAAAAAAAAAACACGTATTACATTAATAAAAAAAAAACATCATTAGTAATTATTAATAGAATACATCATATTAATACACATAGGCCTATGAAAAATATTGTATTATAATTATTATTAATGTTATCAAATAAATAAACAAATATAAAATCATAACGAATAATTTGACAAATATTTATTTATTTATTCAAGACTCAACAGTGTATCAAAACACCAATAACAGAGTGGTCATAATAGGCCTAAATACTGTATGTTAAAAATATGAACATTAATAAAGGAATAATGTGTGTCCAAAAATATTCAAATGACGTTAAAAACAGATGAAATGAATGAATGATATAACACGTATTACATTAATTTTAAAAAAAACATCATTAGTAATTATTAACAGAATAAACCATATTAATACATAGGCCTAGGCCTATATGAAAAAGTACTGTATATTATTATTATTATCATCATTATCATTATTATTATCAATACAAATGATTAATCAAGTTATAAGCTATTATAAATAATTTTGACAAATAGCTACTGTATGTTTGTCACGTTAGAAATACTAAAACGAAATGGTTTGGACTATAACATACACTGCACTGTCAGTTATGAATAAATGAATAACAAATTATTTGAAAGTAATAAATACATCGATATATGAGCGATGACGTAATCTAGGCCCATGTTAGAAATTGTTATAATAAATTATATACAGTAGATAGGCCTATTTGATAGGCCTACCTATACTAACATCATATTTAATGTTTAGTATAAACAATTATTATCATACAAGTTACTGGTAATATATGGTATCATCCATCCACAGAGTAACTGAAATTAACAACAAACAATGATGTTGGTGGATTTCAAAATACTTTTAAGCATTTAAACTAATATCATTTTTAACAAGAGGAATAAACTATACAACTGTGTACCATGATTAAATCATTTTTTTTAAATGTCAAACGTAAAGGCCTGGATATTTCGGAAATTAGAAAAGATATTATGGTGGATTATTTATGAGTGTCCGACATTATTTGCTACGCTAGAAAAATTTACATCTACATGAATAAAAAATTGAATACTCAAAGGCCATTAGAAATAAATAAACTAAATAAATGAAAAAAAAAACATGTATTACATTAATAAAAAAAAAACATCATTAGTAATTATTAATAGAATACATCATATTAATACACATAGGCCTATGAAAAATATTGTATTATAATTATTATTAATGTTATCAAATAAATAAACAAATATAAAATCATAACGAATAATTTGACAAATATTTATTTATTTATTCAAGACTCAACAGTGTATCAAAACACCAATAACAGAGTGGTCATAATAGGCCTAAATACTGTATGTTAAAAATATGAACATTAATAAAGGAATAATGTGTGTCCAAAAATATTCAAATGACGTTAAAAACAGATGAAATGAATGAATGATATAACACGTATTACATTAATTTTAAAAAAAACATCATTAGTAATTATTAACAGAATAAACCATATTAATACATAGGCCTAGGCCTATATGAAAAAGTACTGTATATTATTATTATTATCATCATTATCATTATTATTATCAATACAAATGATTAATCAAGTTATAAGCTATTATAAATAATTTTGACAAATAGCTACTGTATGTTAAAATACGAAAGGTTTCAACATTAATTATACACATTTGGGTAATACCGTATCATTATGGTGTTCATTTGGGTAATACCGTATCATTTGGTTAATTGCGTAGGCCTACCATTTGGATAATTGCGTATCATTTAGGTATCATTGGGGTAATTGCCTACCATTTGGGTAATTGCGTATCATTTAGGTATTATTTGGACAATTCCCTATCATTTGGGTAATTCCCTATCATTTGGGTAATTCGACCCCGTGGGCGATTCCATTTCGTTTTTGCTCGAGGGTAAAAAATTAAAATTTCTGTGACCTTGACATTGTCCTTTGACCTTTCCTTTCCAAAATGTAATCATCTTTTAGATATTTATGTATCATTCCACTAAATTTCATGATGATCAATTTCTTATTTTTTGCATAATCTTGCTAACAGGAAAAAGGGGAAAAAGGTAACGTTATTATAACGTAAAATTGTAAGATACGCAGTGTTGTTTTTTAAAAGAGAAATCTAGCGTTTTAATTAATGTTTATAAATTGTTTTCCATGATTTGTCCGCAGAATAAAGTCCATGCCTATGATAGCCTGTTTAATCGATTCTTAACATACGCTACTTTGACTTCTCTCATGAACTAACTCCACATTCTTCTCGTTCAGATCAAGGGGCATCGAAAATCCAGCACGATTTAAGTGGTGTTTGCATTGTTTACTATTCGGTGTGTTCTCTCTACGGTATTTGATAGCCTTCAACAGAACCTCTTCGACAGGCAGCACGGAGATAGTTTAATCAAGGTGGTAGGCCTACCATATCCGAAATAATATTATCATAGGATAACTGAACACAAACGCCTTTAATATTGAGGGATGCGGTCCGTCTTCTTGTCGAATATATTCATGATTGCTCCTCGATGACGAATCCACGCAAGCTAAAAATGCATAGGCCTACGTATTGACGACGAGTGAGAAATACGGTAGCTTTTTTGTGGGACTCCAGCGATGCAATTTGTATAAGGTCAACTACCTGAAAGTGTGCACAAATGATAGTAGAATGAAAATCCATTCGTCCCCATTCAAAAATATTCAATCATCACCTAACTACCTTCGTGGTTGTTATGGCCCGAGTAGCGGATCCGACTGCTACCCGATGACAATCGGTGGGCCCCAGAGGCAGAGCCCTGTGAGTGTATGACATTTTGTATGGATGTGTGATTTTGACGGGGGTTTTTTCTTCAATTAAAAATATTTCACAAACAGGCAGCACTGTAAGTGGTGAAATTATCTACTTAAAAGTAGGTAATTTCACTATCTACTGCGGCGCCTGTTTGTGAAATATTTTTATGGGTTTTTTAATATGAACAATATATATGATCAAAACATATTTAGTCTTCATGTTTACCTTTTTGTTATAAATTATAATTTGTAATATATTAATACTTATATCAACTGTTTTTGTAAAATTTTATGTAAAGTAGGCCTAGAAAATAGTTATGGAAATTTAAATTATTTTTATGTAATATAGGCCTAGAAAAAAGTAATGGAAATGTAATATTATTTTAATTTTCACCTTTAACAATTGTAACTAGAACTTATATTTTTTCCTTTCTTTGCTGGTGGGGTTAAACCCACTTTTATTTTATTATTTTTTTATTTTTTATCTGGATTTTGTTTTATACACAAATTGATATTTGTTTATGTGTTACTGGGTGAGTGAGGAACACAGAATCACGTCATAGGCCAAGTGATTAGGTTGGCTTTTGTGTTCTTGCCAGCCGAGACCCAGTTAGGGCTAGTTTTGTTATTTTTATAATGTTATGTTTTGGCAATAAAGAGTAAGAATTATATTTAAATAGAAGTGCTTCCGATGGTAGCTTAGACCTACTGCTAACCACAGAAGCCTGTCTTTCCGTCTCTTCAATAGGGTAGGGAGCTTTCGATTTAAGCAACGACGCGACGCTGGCACGGATTTACTCATGCGTGACCACCATCCTGCGTTCTCTGCAGAACGTAGATCCACCCGATAAGAGGTGAATTTAACGTTCTCCCATGATGCGCAGATGACTTTTTAGTCGCCATTACACACCACGTCCCTTGCTCAATCGAGCGCTCCCCATTAACAAAGAAACAATTTGATGAATAGCACACACACACACACATGTAGCTCCTGTGAATTCACGCAAACAAGTGAACCGGACAATAATACAGTGTCTGCGGATTACTCAATCACAATACGATTCGCATACGATAAATACATATAGTTTTAAATCCAAACTAAGCAAGCCGATGGAACTATTCGAAATTTTGCAATAAATCGCCAAACGCATAGGCCTATATCTTTTAAAATAAAATTAGTGTTGTAATAAATTTGATATTACGCCTATTAATGTCCAGTGGCGTATTCGTTGAAGAACTAGGTTTGATACGGTTTATAACATCATGTTCCCTACATAGGCCTAGAGTATTTGAGCACTGTATTATTATCCATTTGATGATGTATACATTACTTGTGTTCCTAGTGCTAAGCAACAACATTTGAATATATATATATATGTGTAATTCGTTTCGTTTTCGTTTATTAATATTTCAAGAGGAATTGTCCCACTCAGCAAGGCTGATTTTCAGGGGAGTCCTCGTCACAACAAACAAGTTACAAAATAGACACTAAGTAGAGCATCAGCAAAAACATCACATTCATATAAAAATAACGCCAATGAATTTTTTTATAGTTTTTTAAATAGGCCTATAGTATAAAAATATGTCATTAAATTGTAATTGTTTTCCTTTAAAAGCGATGTAAAAATATATCATTATTATGTAGATAACTTAGTAAGGAAGCACGCCCAATCGAGAATAACCAAATATATCAAACAATGTTTTGTGTACCGGCCACATCAAAGAGATGAAACTTGAAGTCTTGTATTCTTTTAAAGGAGAAAGTTGACAAACAGGCACTGCATTTAATAGTCAAAGGAAGGGAGTTCCCAATAGTTAGCTTCACAACACCCAATAAAATTTCTTCCATGGTTCCGAGTAGCTTTATATGGGTAGATGTTGTATAAACCCTTTCCGGCCCTGGAGGTTCTTTTGCAAATAATGTCGATAACCGGAGGAGGAGCCAATGAATAAAAGCATTTAAAATTAAAAAGAATAGTATGGAATTGCCACCAGGTGGATAGGTCCATCCAGTTAAATTCTCGTAGCGATTCTCGAATTGAAGTTCTGGGACTCAAGCGTTTGATAAACCTGATCTCTCTATTAAAGATAATATATAAAGGATAAAGAATGAAATTAAAAGTCTGAGACCAAGCGTCACCACAATATTCAAAATTAACAGAGTGATTTTAACATCAAGTGAGAGGAAACCCAAATGACACAGACATCTAAGAGCTGCTCTAGATTTCATGCTAACATATTGAACATGTTCTTGGAACGTTAGATTTCATCTAAGATCCAAGGAGTTTAGACGAAGACTTAACTTCAAGAACTGAATCATTGACGATAATTGGATAAATCTCGCTACGGAATTTATCATTACAAAAAAACTTGGAATATGTTTGGTTTTTTTTCGTATTATTTTTTAGGTGGTTATCAGAAGCCCAAGTATCAATGATTTTGAGTTGAGAGGTTATGTGTTACAACTTCGCAATTTGGTCCGATAGAGTAGTGTCATCTGCATGTTGCAGTAATGAACAAGAACTTATCTACAGTAGTTTACGAATTTGTCAATTTTTTTTAACGAATACCCCTGGGTAGGCCTACTAGAGATTCGTAAAATACAGTAGAGGTTATTAAACAAGCATTTCCACCGTGTGACGTCGACGGCCTCGAAGCTGGCTGGCTGTTTATCTGGCTCTAAGTCATCAAACGCAACTAAGGAAAATCGTATCATGTTTAAAGATTTAGATAAGTTATGATTGACGCACCTCCTGAATGCCGCTGATGTAAATGGTGTCTGTAAAGAGTCAATAAATGATTTGATTTATGATCTGAGTTATGATTGACACCTCTTGAGTGCCACTGATGTAAATGGTGTCTTTATAGAGTCAATAAATGATTTGATTTAAGTGGCTTAACTTCGACGTGAACAGACAAGAAATTGCATTTACCATGAAAGCCGATAGAATGTAATTTTTGAAGAAGAATTGAGTGACTAATTGAATCAATGCCTGAAAGTAATCAACCATGACAGCACCTAGAACATGATTTTTGTCGTATGCCAACCTGGCTTCTTTAACCAACTTAACTAGTTATGCCAAGGCGCTAACACAACTCTCTACTTGAACGCTGTTTTTGCAAGCTGAATCGGCATGTATTTTTGCTATAGATAGGCCTATTTTACTTCCCTTTGGTAAGATTAAGTCTACTATATAGGGATCACCACTTTTGTTACCTTAACAATCTCTAGAAATAGTTGAATTATTATAGCATTGTTTAGGTCATTTTGGTTTACATTGCTCACGGCCCACTGCACATTCACAGTTAAGCACCGTGCCCATTTAGAGAGATCTTGGAGGAAAGAAATCAATAGCCTCTAAATAAGAATACAAATTTTTGAACACTTAATGCACCCCCTCTGAAATGCTTAGTTGGCAGTATCGGTTGTTCTTACTTTGCTGCTTTGGCTAAACATAAAAAAAAAACAGAGAAATATTCGAACGCCCCCGCCCCACCCTCCCTTCCAAACGGCGGCATAAGGAGTGGTAAAATAAAGATGACCATTAGGGTTTTTCGTTGGAGTGCGAACTTACGTAGGTTCCATTGTGCATCACAATGAGATCAAAACATTGTTTCTATAATTGTAAGAACAAAAAATCATTCTAATTAACATTTGTTTTAATTACTATATACGCTCACCTAAGTACCACGAAGAAAAGGTTTCTGGTTAATTTTTCAACAGTGGCGTAGTTAGGTGAGGTCAAGGGTGGCACGTGCGCTCGGTTTGGTGGGGGTGGGGGCGCTGAAATGGGAAGACGAAAGTTAAGAAAATAAGCACTTTTTAGAAAAACTTGACGAAATTTAAAATGCATGTAAACTCTATCATGAGAGGTATATTAATACAACTAGATTGCCTATCGCCCCTTCGGTTAAGTGTGGTTTTCATACAATCGCTACACACTATCACCGACAGGTTTCGGTGATGCTGAATGTTCGGTCGAATCGGGGAGCCTTTCCGATTGCGTCGGGGACTGCTACAAAGTTCAACTATTGTAGCGATTATATGAAATCAACCTTCAGTTGAATCATAGAGCGTTTCCGATTGCGTCAGGGGACAGCTACGCAATGCAAGGATGCAAGTAAAAACGCTGTAGCGACTGCGATTCTATGGAAACCAGTCTTAAATTATGTTAGTACAATATTCAATATTTGCAATGGTATAAGCTTAGTCGTTGTTCGTCCCATAGAAGTAGGCATAGACAACAGTTTTTTTGTATTTGAATGCTATTGTTTGATTGGTATCCTTAATAATTCAAACACACACAATCTACTCTACTAAAGTAAATATTTTCTTATAGAATCGAATATTAATAACCATACAGTACACTGTATCGCATTTCACCGGCGCTATAGTAAGACTATATATAGTATGTAAATTGTATGCCAATGATTGCTTTTTAGTTTTATCTTGCGTCGTGGTTACGAAATAAACCTCCAAAGCAATAATATAGGCCTACTAATATCGAATTAGGCCTAAAACAGGGATTGTGGACAGTAGAAAAATGCCAGGCAGTTTGAAAGAGATATGGTTCACTCAATATTTTGCTGTTTCTGTAGAATGACCTATTCAACAAAATTTAAAAAAAAAAAGCCAGTATAAATCCTGAAAATCCCGATTGATGACCTAAAAGTGAAATACTGTATGAGGTATCTGCGACAGCTTTAACTAAACGTATTATATTTCTTGTTGAATTTTTTCTGAAAAAAATTGTTGATCCAACTTTCGAATTTATTATTCTGTTTTATTTTTTACTCTCTAAATTTTAATCGTTTTCTCATAAACTATTTTTTATTATTGAATTTGTTATCTTTATTTAATCGTATTTTAACTTATTAAAATTGTATTTTTATAATCTTTTATCAATTGTGTGTAGGCTTTTTTGAAGCTTTGTTTCTTTCATTTTTTGATATTTTTGATTGTCTAATTTTTTTTGATGTGCAATTTGTTCACTTGGTAGGCTTTTGTTTGTATCTTAAGACGAATTTCCACTTTACATTTGTTATGTTGGACAATAGAGATTGATTTGATTTGAATTTACAAAGTGGACTTCCTTATGTTGTGGTCATATTGTAATATTATTGTTAAAGAAGTCCATTCAACAAACAACATAAAACATATACATATCAAAGTTATTTGGTTAAAGTTCTCATGTCGGTGCATACATAAAACGTAATTTCCTAAAATTTGGATATCTGAGATTGACAGACAAAATTCTTTATACTATTATATAATAATTTAACGAGTGGACTTCCTTGATTTAAGGAAATATATATATGTATTGAGATACGCGAAGTTTAAAGGAGAGGACTTCCTTATGTTGTGTCATATTAGACTGTATTATCAACAATGGCAAGCTTTCATCACAAAAGCAAGAAGGAAACGAGGATATTGTTCAATCACGCAGGGCGTATATAATAGGCGAGCTAGGGCGAGTCCATTATTTTTCTTTTATGCTCAAGAGGTAAATTTCAAAGGAAACTTTGGCATTTATCGGTTTATCCAGGTAAGTATTCACGAAATAGACTTTACATTTTAATCAGCAATCCATCAGAAATACGGGGATTGGTTATGCTGTAAAGCCTTCTGGATCTCTGCAGTACCGTACTAAAACTGGGATCCAACAGGCAGTGAATATTCCATTTTGATTTAGTGTAGATGTTTTTTACATATTTTTATTTTATTTGAATTCTTTTTATTTTGTATGATTCATATGTTATATTTTCCACAGACAGATAAATGAATGCCTGAACTGATATTTTATGGGTTTCATATTACTTTCTATACAAAACAGATATCATAAATCATCTATTGAACATTTGACGACGACGATAATGTCTCCAAATTCCCAACCGTAACTTAGGCTACGGGCCTCGCTTGACACTTCACATCAAAGGGCCTGATGATTAATTTGCACAGTTTCCTCCTCCTCATCATCATCTTTTCATCATCATTTATTGTCCATAGCAAAAGTTGGGAAAAACTATGAATTCCGAGTGTATTAAATAACAGACGTCTCAAAATGTACGACGTGTTATTTCAAAGCATCTAGAAAACAAAAACTTTTCGAAGACGCCGAAGACTCCCCCCACCCCAAATCTAAAATTTGTCTTCCAGCGACAAAAGAAGTTAGCTCTCTTCTCATGACCCCTCCCACCATGGGAACCCATCTGTGCGATAGCCAGGGTAAACTCTGGATCCGCGCTTGATATGTATTTAAGAGAAGTGCTTAAAAAGGTATATTTACAGTATATTCATTTATAGAAAATAATGTTGCATACTAGAACTATCAGGAATAAATACAGATAAAGGCATGTTTTTGTCTTGGCTTGGTAATTTAGTGAAGAAGTGAATACATGTCTAGGCAAGTGTATGGAATTAGTCTGATTTTCTGCAAAAGCTCACTATGTGTAGTAATTGACCTACTTGATTTGGATAAAAGGTAAGCCCACTAGACACTAAATTTCAACTGAAGAAGAAATGCATCCTAGTTTCTTAATCAGTCATTATAAATTTTACACTGAAGAGAAGAAAATAATGTAAACTATCATTAACGGTTCCTGAGTTATGTCAAAGAGGGAGTAGGTTGAGTCTAAACATACAGGTGGAATTTAGCCCTTTTTTCCTATTCAAAACCTAATTAATTAACTTGTGGTCTGTCAAAAAATGGTCAGGTTGAAACCTGACCAACCGTACCGGTGGCTACGGCCCTGCGATAACAATAATGAAATATAATATATATAAATAATATAACAATTTATATTCCAGATAAAAATTAAATTAAAAGAGGATTTGTCCCATTCCTTGTGTAATATTTATTCACAAGTAGAAATTGTTGTATTGTTTCAGGAAGTCGCACGTCGTTCTGGCGACAATTGGTTTCCTGCTTCTGCGTCTCCCGAGCAGTGATGCTAAATGAATAAATAAATTCACAAATACGAAAAAAAAAACTTTAAAAAAAAAATACTGGTCTCCCGAGCAGTGATGCAAAATGAATAAATAAATAAATTCACAAATACGAAAAAAAAAAACTTAAAAAAAAAAAATACTGGCAATCAACCAAAAGCTGCTTCGACTGATGATTCTTTCTTGTAAAATTTATGCTGTTGCATCAATTATTTTCTTCCATTTTCTATTTCATTGTATTGTAACCATAGTATAACTACAAACTACAAGTGGTTGAGAGAAACTGAAGTACTGGAAATCAAGGCTAAAATCAAGAAAAAAAAGTGGACATGGGCAGGACATATCAGCCGTAGGACAGACTAAAGATGGAGTACACCTTTAACCAGAAACCATTGATAGGAAAAAGGAACAGGGGAAGACAGAGAAAGAGTTCGATAGGTGAAATAGATCAGTACTGGGCTGTCGCGGATGCAGTATTTGGTGGTGCGTGGGAGAGTCCACATCACCTCAGCCACACCATGATTGGAGCTGAGGTGAACCTGTAGGTGCTCGGAAATTGCACTCTCATACCTTAAAAATCTATGGTAATTCGTATCAACAATATAATACAATTATTTTTCCTAATACAATTTAGGTGGGTGTGATCACACCATCTGCACCCCCTCCCCCTCCCCCTCCCTGTATCCGCCCAGACTGGGGTGGTATGAGCTGGTGTAGCAAAGCAAAAAATAGAAAAATTTGAAGGCAGCATTCGCTTCTCCTCTTGTATTTGTTAAGGTACAGTACTCTTGTTGAATTGTTAATTGTTTTTTCATATCACTTGCTGACTGGATGAATGAAACCTGATTACCTATTTAACTTATTCATGTTATAATTATGCATGTATTATGTTTGATGAGAGCAATAAATATTAAACAAACAAAATCATAAAAGAAAATGTCCAATTATGACTGGTAGGCCTATCCATTGGCATTGACATAGATGCAATGATTCGAAATTCTTTACGGTAGTATTGTCCTTAGCAATGAATACATTTTTTCTTTAATTGGAGAGGCCTTATACCGAAAGATCTACTGATTAATCTCTGATAAGATAGTATAATACATAATCCAAGTACTGTATCGAAATGCATGCCACTGTGTCGAGATTCAAAGGAGAGACCTTGTGTTATTAGAGTGGAAGAGGTTGATGCAACAGCTATGGTGTAACCCTTTAATGTTGAGGTTGTTCGAATCCCCCGCGGACCATTTAATTTGTTTCCCAATGCACTTTACATCATCTCTTTCCAACTAAGAGAATCATGTTTACTACCTGGTAGTAAGGTGTTGTGGCACTAAATGTGGTGTAATGCAATGTATTACACTATATTGGAGCACCAGCTGTGTGCTTTGAATCTCCAGTTTCGATTACAAAAGGTATTTGAAACAAATATTGACCACTATTATTATGATGAATTAAATAATTGTAATGCTATGTTATGGCATTTTCACAGCCACTAAAATCAATTACTTAACAGAGCAGCTCAATAATTAATATTTACAATTACCTCGATTGCAACATTAGTTGACCTAAGAGAGAGGTCATATCAAATAGGTTCAGTTAAGTGCATATGGCTATTGTTATTTATTTTTTATGATATTCATCCAGAGAACTGGTAAACAGGGGTCCCAAATTGGGAGAAATCCCTTCCAGGAGAACTGGTAAACAGGAGTCCCAAATTGGGAGAAATCCCTTCCAGGATAACTGGTAAACAGGGGTCCCAAATTGGGAGAAATCCCTTCCAAGAGAACTGGTAAACAGGGGTCCCAAATTGGGAGAAATCCCTTCCAGGAGAACTGGTAAACAGGGGTCCCAAATTGGGAGAAATCCCTTCCAGGAGATCTGGTTAAATGATCTTTTCATATTTTTGCGTTAAATGGGTCCACATTTGTTTGAATTTAAAGTAAGTCCACCCTGATATTGTCCCGCACTGTTTGAAAATCCTGGCTCCGGCATTGAGTGTATCGATATGGCATCTTTAGAAGTTCGATAACAAACACGTACTCGCGTTATAGATTTACAGTGTCTGTATCAACACATTCATTTGCGTCATCACCTGCACCTTTCTGTTTGGTGTTAGTGATGTTTTATCCAGTCCCCCAGATAAAATAACCCTTCACAAGACTAATATTTTACACGGAAAAGAGTGTATCATAGTGAAAGGTCACTGGAATACACTAAAGTACACTGTAGAGAGAGGTTATGAAAAATAATATACTATATAAATAGTGACGTCATACACACGCACTAAAACTAATTGGAACTGCTTCATAATGAAACGCGTAGAAAAATGGCCTAACAGGATGTCCCATGAGAGAAATCATATCCGTATTGACGGAATTAGCATCAATTTCATATTGTGTTTTAACCCACGGGAATGTATTACAAATTGCTTCTGATTACAATGATTATCCTGTTGGTGTAAATTTTATTATAATCGAATCAGTGTGAAGTCTAGTGTGTTAATCTGTGGATAGAAATCGCAGAAGTTGGGTGACGTGGCCTGTCGTATTATACTGGAGGGTTGTTTACTTTTTATGAGTACACAAACCGCAAACACGAATGGGAAGAAAAGGAAATTGCGCACTCCCGATGTTGAGACGGCGCACGCGTTGCCAACACAACCATGCACACGCAGGTACTTCGGCGACAGGGTATTAATTAAATGATAGGCCTATGAAATATTATAAAAAAAGTTTTTTTAATATTCATATAAGCCTATATTTATAGAGTTAAGTAGATCCATGTTTCTGTAGTATAATTTTAGAAAAAAAAATGTAAAAATATCATATGATTCTGCAAGCAGGCCTACATTTACACTTTAATTATAAAGAATAAGTTCAGAATAGTGGTATTTATTTCTTGGAAACAGTTTAGTTTTCTTATTAATAACGTTCAGCAAAGGAGACAGAGACCTACGCACAATTGTGTGGAATAATGTTGATTTCTCATGAGTGAATTTCAGAAATTACTACTACTACTACTACTATTGCTACTGCTACTGCTGCATTATAATAATAATAATAATGATAGTAATTGTTATTGTCGTGATGGAATAATAGACAATAACTGGATTTGCGTCAGGAGAAACATGTATAGGTGTAATTTTGCTTAATCTTTCTTACCATATTTACAGTAACTATATTTTACTGCGCATGGTGATACCAATCGGCAATGACTTCTGTGAGAAAATTGATAATAAAGTAATAAAAACATGGAAATATTATGAATTTGCAGAAGATGGGTAATTTTCCGGGAGGTTCTTGCTTGCGTGCGGGAGTGCAGGACACCATCCCGATTTCCGGGAAACTCCCGCGATTTATGGGAGACTTCGGACCCCCGTGTAAAACATGCTGTAGAAAAACAGTCTTGATTTCTTTTCCATAACTTTTCTACATCATTAACTTTTTCTTTACTTTGTTACAGCTCCATCTACGAGTCTTATTCTCGTTGCTGATATTTCGCTGTGCTCTCTGGTGCTATCACCGAAAAGAAGAATACCAGTACTTTTTGAAAGCCTACAACAGTTCCTGGACATGGATCAGTCGAATAATAATTCTCTTCACTAATTCTTGAGAATTTTTGCTAAAAATATATTCTTTAGGTACATAATTTTATTTCTTGTCTTTGGTTTTTCTGTGAACCATCTCCCGGAAGTCCCTCAGAATCTTGCCCTCACGCTTTGTTCGTTCTTCTTTGCTGAATGAGGCAAGTGCACGTTTCTCATCCGCACTGTAAATTTGATTCTCTTTTCTTATACGTACAGCCTCCATTCGTCGATGTCTGAAAAGTTAGATAAAAGAAAAGATTAACTGACCATTGTGAAATATAAACAAATCAAAACTAGAACAAAAAGTTTTAACTGTGCATTATTATGTCAAAGGTCAAGGCATACAACATGTACTAATATTCTTTTTGGTAATAGCGCCACCAGAGAGCAAAGTGAAATATCAGCAAAGACTGTATAATAAGAAGATATCGTCCTCTGCGATTTCTGCGTACAAACTCTGTGACGCAGTGTACGGCGCCCTTTTGTAATTGCTTTCTGCATGAATGGACGCTTCTATTTTGTTACCGAAAGTACAAATGAAATACACAAAGATATTAGAAACATTATTGTATAGAATAATTAATTGTTCTTAATATGAATTTGTATTTGCAATATCTTTGTGTATTTCATTTTACTTTGCACTGTTTTTATGCTGAATGTATTGCTTTTGTTGTGTATGTGCTTCCTCGTGTTGTATATTTATTTATTGCTATATTGTTAAACTTCAATTTTGTTTTCAAAATTGCAATATAGAATAAAGAATTAATAATTGGTAAATTAATCACAATTTTTTTTTAAAAGGATGGACTATAAATGTGGACTGCAATTTGTGATGGATTATGGTACATTTTAAGGAAGAGAAGAATAAATACAATAAAAAAAAATAAGAATTAAATAATAGAAAACACCTACCTGCTACCACTCATGACAAAGCCTACATTTTCAAAAACTTCAATCTCTCCACTAGTTAAGCCAATTTCACCACGACGAGGAATACGTTTGCCAGCCTCCACATAAGCAGCCATTGCAGCGCCCTCACCAGGCAACAAGGCTTTACCGTAACTTTACATTAAAAAGAAAAATACATATATTGAATATTTAAAACCTCACAAAATGGCCCTCTCTCTTAAATTTGAATATAATTTAAATTTCTACCCAATTATTTCATAATTTTGAAATATTTAGGGGGCCGGGCCGGCTTTTCCACCCCCTCCCTTGAATCCACCACTGATCTAATGAGCTTTCTTAACACATTTAATTAATTTGCGCAACATAGTGACTTTGATATACCCACCATGAGAAAAATTAATGATAAAGTAGTGAAAACATGCAAAATTATGAATTTGAGGATATTGGTTAATTTCTGGGAGATTCTTGCGTGCGGGAGCCCATCCAGATTTCCGGGAGACTTGGGACCCCTGTATTTCATAGTAGCAAAAGTTCTGAGTTGAGTTACCTAAGGTAATCATGTTTTTGGAGGCACATTTTGTAAAGCTATTTTTCAGAATTGATAGGAAAACCCAACACAAAATTTATCAGATGCTTATCTCTAGAGGCGATTTTCTCTAAGTATGCTTTTAGACATCTGAGCTTTAAAATGATCTTGCTCCGGTTTTACTCAACCTAGGAACATGAATCAAATACCAAAATAAAGCTTATATATTCATCTATCTGAATATATCAATAACTAATTTTTCGTACCGCAAGACTCATTTTGTCACGACAGCTCACAATGGAATGCCATTGATGCAAGGAAGTATTATGGAATGCCAAAATTGATCTTTTTTTAATAGGTTTCAATGATTAAGACAAAATTTAAGGACTGGACTGGAATCCAGTCTAGTTTATGTTAAACAAAATTTTGCAGTCTGGAGAGGTCTTAAAATTAAGTATTTATTCCCATAGCCTATATGATATAGGTAAGTAGTGAAAAATTTTTAGCATTCTACATTACATATTTGTTTCGTAGCTTGAATCTTTACTGAAATAAATTTTTACAAACATACTACCAAATGTTGAACTTACTCAAGAGGTCCAGCTGGTCCGTTCTCTGAGGATATTGGCAAAGGGCCAATAACTGCCTGACTGTTAGTCCCTAAGTTGAAAATAAATGTGATGGATTAAAAATTATTTCGAAAATCCAAAGCATATACAAACAAAACAAGTTCCTGTAATCTTGAAAGCTCTGATGAGGGCAGTATAATAGAGGCAGTAGAGTATATTGGCCCTATTGACCGTGCATACAAGACAGATCTATTAATCAATTAGCCGAGTGTTCTAGAGCTCGTCATCAGAGCTGAATCAGAGTCTTAATGGGCGCCCATACAAAAAGATCTATTAATCAATTAGCCGAGTGTTCTAGAGCTCGTCATCAGAGCTAAATCAGTCTTAATGGGCGCCCATACAAAAAGATCTATTAATCAATTAGCCGAGTGTTCTAGAGCTCGTCATCAGAGCTAAATCAGAGTCTTAATGGGCGCCCATACAAAAAGATCTATTAAGCAATCAGCCGAGTGTTTCTAGGGCTCCTCATCGGAATTAAAAACCAGTAGCAAAACATTATTAAGACACTGTACAAAAATAAAATGTTTTATTTTGAACTAATCATGCCTGTACAGTGCAATCATCATCAATGCAATGTTTATTAATTTGGTTTGTAATCAATTTAAAGATTGTCTTAAGCTCTGTCTACACTATCAAATTTCATCAAAAAAGCATCACATAAAATGTGATGGAACAATATCATCAAAGTACATACAAACTTCGTAAAAAAAATGTGATGTATTTTGATGAAACTGAATTATCAAATCCGATTGGTTGGTGTGATTTGTAGTGTTTGCTTATTGGTCAAAAGGTGTTTTCTAAAAAAAAGACATCAAAAAAAGTTGAACATGTTCAACTTTTTTAGATACAACTTGAAATTATGTGATATGATGTCATCGTGCCCATATATGGGCACATCACATTTTTTTCTGACATAAAATTTGATAGTGTACACAAATGCTGCGTTTCCGCAGCACTTACCACCCGATAAATTATTGGGAAGCATCCATTCTGTTAGTTTTACACTGCGGGAACATGGCCCAAAGTTTCCAAAAAATTATCAGTTAAGAATCAGATGATTTAACGAAAACAGCTCCAAATGCGAAAAAAAAAAACCCTTTGACCGAGGTCAAATCACAGAACAGTACATGCAAAGAATTTTTTTGGTACGGTGGGAACGTCTTTGTGGGAACATTTCTCAGGCAACTAGTAGTTAGTAGGACCAGTAATATATCAAACACTTCATAATAAAAAGTGATTAAATCTTTCGGGCTAATTAAATATTTTTAAAAAAGCATGAAATGGCTACAATCGACGCTGCTGCTCTGGGCTTAGGTCCTGTCCTGGGGGAATGGTTTTGTTTCCCAACCTCAAGATTGATGACTTTTTTTTTTTGTCATTTTCTGGGAACAAAACACAAGTTATAAATTTTATCAACCTTGCAGTGTTTAATTGCATATTTAAGGTTTTTCCTGTTTTCCCAATGACAGGCAAAATGCCTTCAATTATCCCTGATGCCAGAATGGAATAAATGTTTTATAATCAAGTTAAATCCAATACCAACATATTGCTTTCCCTCAAAATTTCAATTATTTACTTTGTGCCTCAACCCATTCTTGTTCTTCATCTTCCTCTTCTTCTTCTGAATCGCTTGAGTCTTCGTCTGAACTTGAGTCCTTCGTCCTTTTCTTCCGCTTGCGTTTTTTCTTTGACTTTTTGCTACATCAAGGAAACAACAGTTATCAATAAAAATTTGAAAGTACATCAGAATACTTCACTAACATTGATATTGAGTAATCGTTCTGTGTTTTATTTACCTTCTAAAATTAAAAAAAATAAATATTACAGGACAAAAAAACAGGAATCTGAATCTGATTTTAAACATAGCTAAGTTTCATATCTGTAATTATGATATTAAAGATGGTGATGATGATATTGATGATGAGGATGATGATGGTGACTGTGGAGGCGGTGATCCCGATTATCTTTTACTGTGGAGTCCACATATCAAGCACCCTGAGCATCTTATGTTAGATGGATATGGCGCTATATAAAACTACACAATTATTACTATTACATCATCTTTATTTACCTCTTTTTTAATTTGTTTTTTCTTTTTTTAGCCTTCTTTTTCTTTTTCTTTTCCTCTATAAAAAATGTAAAAAAAGGCATTATAAATTTTCTTTCAGTAACAACAATCATCTTTAGCATTTTTACATAATCATCATTGTATATTACTCATAATCTGTATAAGGCCAAGTAAAATAAAAAGTAGTTTTTCGTCCTTATATACTGAAAAATAAAAAGAGAATGGGGGCACCTTTTTTTTTACTCCGAGATGGCAAATCCAAAATGGTTGATGGGAACCAGCTACTACTTTCTCACTTTTTCTCACATTGAAAGCAAATAAAAGAAGCACTAGACATGATTCATACCATATGTATCCCTAACCATGAACGATCGAGAGAGGAATTTTACTGATATGAGTGACACTTCGTAGAATAAAGGATATAAAAAAAATAAATAAAAAATTAGTGAGGCAGAGAAAATTGATGCGCAAGGGGACAGAAACTAGTAATTTTTTTTATTTGGCCTTATCAAAATAATACAAATTCTATTATTTTTATCTTGGCATTTTCATTGAACTTTCGACAAAAAGATTGTGCATCTTGCTTAAATTTAGAAAAATGAACAAATACGACAACAATTAAAAAATGCTGCAAATCAGGAGTCCATGAACCTCAGGTGTTTACTGTGTATCAAAGTGTAGAGGACAGAGAGCACAGTATACGAATGATATGCCCTTATGTGATGTGAGCGTAAACAAATGATATGCCCTTATACGCAGCTTGGGAGGACACCCGCTACATAAGGTGATTTTTAACTACTTAAACATGATTTCTTTTGCATTGAACATTTTCAATGGGAGGGGGGAAACGACTGGGGCCAAATGGGTAGACTCCTGGGAGCATAGAAAAACTGTGCAATTTTTAGCCAGAGAAGTACTATGCACAAGAAATTTTAAATACTATGCTTTTGGTCATAAGATAGGAGGGCTTGCTCTTTCCGTTGAGACAAGGGAGAATACAAAAATATATTTACCTTCACTACTATCAGTGCTGTCGCTTACACTTTCTACTGACTCTTTATTACTAAATTCATCTGAACTGTAAAAAATAAAAAGTAAAACATAAAGTAAGCAGCGCAACCCATTGGAAACTGTTGCATGTGAGGCTAGTAGCTGAGTTGTTTGCATGTAAAGGCCTGTTTACATTATAACGATAATGATCAACGATAAAAAGCTAAAAAAGCAATTGTTCATATAGAAAATAAAAGAAATAAGAGAATTTTTGGCGTATCTAGGGGTGTGTACCCTTCCTACCACCCCATCCCCTCCAATTGGAAATGTTTGAAACAAAAAAATCATGTTAAATTAGTTAAAAATCACATTTTGCGAGCTAGCTCTGCCTCTCTTGATCATCAAACCCCCCCACCCCAATCACTGTTTCATTGGAAGTTAATAATTAATTTGATTATTTTAAAAGAACAATTACAATTTTTAATGTAACAGAAAATTTTTAGGGGCTTTTTTTATTTCACCACAGACTGTATCTTATACCGTACTTACTCTGGTTCTGGTCTTTCTGGTGAATTCATCCACACCTCTGGTACTCCATTTTCACAGATGTTCTCACGCTCTTGTCTACGCCTAAGAATAGCATTAAGTAAAAAATATAGAGTTTAACCCGAGAATGCAATTTTATATGCCACGAACCAACAGTCTCTCGTTAAAAGTTTAAATAATGATGCTGTCCAAATGGCAATGAGTAAGTCGTACCTTGGAACCGATTCAATGCCAGAGTGGTTTCTCTTTCCTTGGCATTTCAAACAGACCGTGCATAAAAGTCAAATTGTTTTATGTTGTTTCCTTCCTTTTGTTTTCACACTGGGCAGAAGAGCGCATTACACTGTGGTATGCGCTATAAAAGTGGAAGACCGTTACTATTCCCAGTAGTAATTAAAAAATTTGGCGTACAATATAGAAATTAATTTTTAGAAATAAAAAATTTTAGATGTGGAATAAAATTAAAATTTAACTAGCACCTCAAAATTAAATAGTAGAAATCATTTATAATAGAGATTAATTAATTATTAAATATTGAATTAATAATAAAAAAACAATTACAAAATATGATTTAACAAAAACATAAAATAAATAATAAAACTGAAATTAATAATTGTAATAATAACAAATTATTATTTTATAACTTATTTGAAAACACCATCAAAAATAATAAATTAGAATTTAACTGCTACTTACTTTTCAAAAAACAATTCCTGTTGTTCTTTATTGGAGTCTCCAGACCTGTTATAGTGCCTTTGACCATGGTTTCCATTATGTCTTCCATCCTGATGTCTATGATCATGTCCATCAAATCGTCTTTCCTGCCTTTCATCATATTTCCTCTCATCGCGCCTGCTATCACGGTGACTAACCTCTCTATCACGTTGGCCACTTCGTTCGTCATCCCTGTAATGGTTATCCTTACGTCTATCATTTCTCTTGTATCCATCCTCAACATCCGCCCAATTTCGGTCTCTTTTGTGATCCCGCCGATCAAAACTATCTTCATTTCTGGAATCATTGTATCTATGGGTCCTTCTTTCACGTGATCGTGACCTACTTTTCCGCCTCCTTGTATCTTTATGATCATCTCTTTCAGAGTAATTTTTATGCTTTGTTTCTCTTTCTACTGGCGACCAACTGCGCCTTTGTTTCTCACTACTCGAGCTTGAAGAACTTCTGTGTCTTCTTTTGCTGTAACTCGCAGAGGATCTGTTGCTGCTAGAAGATCTTGAACTGCTGCTGCTACTTCTGCTAGAAGATGTATATGAGCTGCTTTTGGACCTTTTCTTCCGTGACCTCTGTCTTGAGCTACTTCTACTACTCCTGGAGTCTGAGGATTCTTTCCTACTACCCATACTTCTGTTGAAAGAAACCAGTTTTAATCAAAAATGCTGTAACAATATATATGTATATTTGAACACAAAATATTTCTTAGTTTATCTACAAAATACAGCAAGATAGCCTAATTATCAAAACAAAACATTGCATAAATAAATTTTGTTTTCTTTGCTGCAAAGACATAATCCGTATTAATAATAAAAAGGACATAAAAAACAATATACAGGCAAAGAAAAATGCATTCCTTAAGTAAAAATAACTAAGTAATACATATTCATAGTTCCATACCTGCTCTTCCATAATCCAGTCCATCGATTCAATAACACTTATTCATATTTACAAAATAATTAATCCAACCAATGTTCAGGCTGTTCTGATTAATGCACTATGCACTTGTCAATTGTAGTCCTGCCCCCCTCCCCTGGACTAGGGCCTAGGCCAGCTATATTAACACAAGAAGGCTAACCTAGACTAGGCCTAGCTAGCCATGAGGATAGGTTGGCTAGCCGGCCTAGGCTAGGAATAAAGAGACCTGTCCAAGTAATCTAGCCGCTACCATAGGGCGCCTAGGCCTAGGCCCTAGACCTTGCCTAGGCGTAGGCTATGCCTCACCTAGGCCGGGCCTGGGCCTAGGCCTAGTTACTAACTACTACTACTACTAGGTAGGCCTAGGCCTAGTTAACACGATTATATCCGTCAACAATGTTTTAAATACTAGTAATTTACAACAATAGTTACTTTGTGTTTTGCTTTTGTTCTTGTCCGTTTCTGTTTAACTTCTATTTCGGTCTTCCGCACAAAACGAATCAAGTACACTCGCTATACCCCTGACGAAACGACGGACGAACGTCCGTAGAAAATAAAACGCTTCCAGTGACAGTCAACTCTATCTGTGCGTTGAATGTGACCAGTTTGCGTTTCAAGTTATCTCCGTGGTTGCTTGCAACGCGTTGGTAGGCTAATGTGAATTAGGCCATACTGTACAGTAATTTGCACTCTTTTTATTATAAATATTTTCCACGTCAGTTCCTAGGCCTATATAAAAAAAAAACCATAAATAATAAAGATGATTGTCATCTGAACAATGCCATAAAGATTATAAAAATGTATTTATAATTTCATTTTGAAATAATATAAAATTATTTTATTTAAATCACATATTGTCTTAGGCCTATGTGTTGTGCGGTGTTATGGTGTTATAAAAATTACATTGTTAAAACCAAAGTCAATTACAAATTGCTATAATGATGCGTTTAGAATGACATTAAGACACTGGCTTCCAGTGTCACAGAGAATCCTGTTCCGCATATTAGTTCTGACATTTAATACACTGCAGTCCTCCAATCCTAGTTATATCTCCTGCCTGTTGATTTTCTTAACCTCTACCTATTCTCTCCGTTCTGTTTCCGGTTCCTGTTTATCTGTTCCCAAATCCAACAAACTTGTTGGTGATAAATCTTTCTCTTCCTCTGCTCCAAAACTGTGGAATAATCTTCCTATTTCCATCCGAAATGCTTGTAGTACTGAAGTCTTCAAAAAACTCTTAAAAGCTCATTTATTTCCTAAATAATCCTCTTCCTACAATAAACCTTTTCTAAGCGCCTTGTATCCTTTGGCAAAAGGCGCTATATAAATTTCTATATTATTATTATAAGACGATGTAGTGCTAGTGAAATGTTTGTTTCAAATGATTCCTGATGATGACATAATTAATGTCGAATTGAATCCCAACACGATGGCGTGTATTTCAATACTTGGAGTATGTATACTTTCTTATCTGAGATTAATTAAGGCCAGAATTGATAGCGGTGCCTTTATGTATTTGTTAATGTGATTCAAAATTGAACTTTAAGTGGAATTGTATTTACCAGCACAGTACTAATTGTAGAACATCGTGCATTGCCTTTAATTTAATTGATTGATTGATTGGGGGTGGGGGCAGGGCCCCGTCGGGGAGAGCTACCCTCCCCTCTCTTCCCCCTCGTCGGGGAGAAAAATCACAATTCGTCGGGGAGAAAAAAAAATGTATATTTATGATTTACCGTACATATTACTAAGACCCAAATTCCATCAAATAAGCCTTTGAAACCCCTAAGCTGTCATATTTTTTAAATTCCCCCCCTCCCACAGAACACATTCAAGAGATTTTGAGGCGACGCCCGACCACGCCCACTTTTTTTTGTCGGGGAAGTGGTTCCCCCCGTCAGGGGCGGATTTAGTGGGGAGGGGGATGGCCCTTCTCCGGTCCCCATTTTCGGAGACAAAAAAAAAGAAAAAAAGAAAGAAAAAGAAATGATAGCCCAGAACGCCTCAAATGTTTTTTTTCGCGGGGGCATGCCCCCGAACCTCCTAGCATGTGTTGTTTCGATCGGCCGTACTTTCGTTCCTCCCCCCCCCCTTTTTTTTTTTTGAACATCCTTGGATCCGCTCCTGCCCGTCTGGGACCTCGGACTCCTCGTCAGGAAAATCCCGGCGCCACCACTACCTTTAAATTTTTCTTAACTACTTCCTATTCTTTCTTAAATTTTTGACTTAGAATGTGTAACCTGAGTAGGCCTACTGTATACATAATTTTACAATATACTTTATTTGTCTTGCAAAACATAATTCTAATTTCGTTGCTGTATTAGTAGTGGCCTTATATAACGAACATTAAATCACACATTAAGTCCTTGATTAAATAGGCATAGGAATTAAATTAATTCTTTAACGTTAAAAACAAAAAAGAATGAAATTTGTATGCCAATAATACCTGTATATAAATTACCCCCTCTGTTGTTGAACAGTGGGCCATGGGTTGAGTGGCCCTGAAATCTATTATCGCTTGGCCCGGCAGTCTGATTGGTCGATAGTGAGTCTCTATATTGAATGTTCAGCAGCCTGTGAATTTAGATCGTCAGCTTTTCCGGCTGCTTCTCTTAAGCAGGGGAGATTCCAAAAAAAAAAAGAGGGGGGGGGGGGGGGGGGGGTTTGAGGGTAAAGTAAATGATCGGTAATGCGAAAAAATAGTAATATATGAAATACAAGCCATCCCAGAGTGTGAGCCAAATAAAGAAAAAAAATATTGTGCCCGACCGACCCAAATTTTACGAAATTCAGGGTCGGCATTTTAGTTTTTCTATTTTTTTTTAAACTACAAGGACTAGGACTAGGCCAGGAGGCCAAGGCCTAGCATACGGTATGTTGGTGCATGGTACGCGATGCGAATCCAAAATTGTTGCATTATTTTGTGTATTTTATACTTTTTATTTTTATTTGGTATAATCAGGAAAGAGTGTAAAGTTAACCGTCCCATGCGGCCACCTCCCGTAAGCGATCACCTCCCCCTTAACGTCCAAATTCATGACGTCCCGTTTGCTCCCCTATTTAATCAGTGCACATTTAATACCTCTCGTAACACTACAACCCGTATGCGACCACCACCACTTTTTGACTTTTGGATTTTCTTATCCCATTATTTTGTGATGGGATATAATATTTGGAGGGAATTTTAAGATAATCTAACGCAGAAATTATAAGAGCTACAGAAACATGGCCTTTATGTATAAATTGGTAGGCCTATATCGAATTGTATGTTATTATGATTAAATAATAAATTGTGTAATAAAAGTACAGTAGTAGTATAAATAGGGCCTAATCTATTTAAATTATTAGTTGTCTTGGCGCTTCATAGTTTATTACAGAGATGGAATTTTCCAGTCTTTTTGAGATGGGATTTTCCAAGAGTATTTTTAGGTGAGACTGCCTTAAATGCGTGTGTAACATGAGAATAAACAATTTTAACAACCAGCAGCTTGCTACAAAACATAGGCCTACTCCAAGATGGGTAATAAAAGCAGAAAGTGTAGTGCAATTTTATCAGTAATTTTACTTTTGCTGCTGTCCGGGTTTGTAGTATGCGGCGTCTATCACTACATCCTCTTTAAATCCACCGGAGATCAATGTGCCGATCAGTGTTATAATGGCGGGAGCATGACTCAGGAAACCAAAACATGTACCTGCGCTGAGGGATACGGCGGTCGGTGTTGTGAGTTCAAGACCCAGACGTGTCACACTAATCAGTGGAGTGAGTGGACGCATTGTTCGAAAAAGTGTGGCCCAGGCGGTATCCAGTTTAGAATTAAAAATGTCGTCTGCCCTGTCTGTTCTCAAAAGATTTACGAGAAACGGGCTTGCAATGTGTACTGCTATAACGGGGGAATTCCATCGAATGTTAGTGATGAATGCATCTGTGAACGTGGCTACGGTGGCGAATGTTGCGAATGTAAAATACAGAATTGTGAACTGACCTCATGGAACGAGTGGTCAACGTGCACTCATGAGTGTGGACCGCATGGGATGCGATTTAGAACACGTAATGTGGCGAAGCCACCTGCTTGTGGAGGAGACCCTTGCCCTGGGATCTTAACCGAGGAAGAAGAATGCAATAGAAAATGTGAAAACAACAGAACTCTGGACTACGAAGGTTACAAGTGCACGTGTCCAGTGGGATACAATGGACAGTGCTGTGCCTGTAAGGTCCAGGATTGTGTCATGACCCCATGGAGCAATTGGTCAGAATGCTCGCAGAAGTGTGGGCCGCGTGGAATTGCATTCAGAACCCGTGGTGTGCAAACTGCACCCAAATGTGGTGGAACACCGTGTTCTAATATATTCGCCGAAGAAAAGCTATGTAATAGGATGTGTGAAAACGAGGGAATTTTGGACTATGAGGCGGGGGAATGTAAGTGTCCAGACGGATATAGTGGTCAATATTGCGACTGCAAGAACGTCGATTGTGAACTGAACATGTGGACTGAATGGTCAACATGCGAGAACGCAACAGCACGTCAAGTACGATCACATGACGTTAAGAGATACCCGAATTGTGCGGGGCGCGAGTGTGAAGGGTCACTAGTCGAAGATCGTTCATGCGCAGTGGCATTAAAACGCAAGCTATTACTCCCAGAATGGTCGGTGATAGTGCTCAGTACGTATGGAGCCATACTGACGGTGTTTATAATTACCGTTGTGATCTACGTAATTAGGTATACAAAACTTTTCATTTACCGTAGGCCTCTTTATTCGTAAATTGTGTTAATTTTGTCAGCTACTATTTTATTACGTATCATGTCCAGTGGCCAGAAAATTGTACCTCTATACAGAAATTGAAAATGAACTTATCATCTTCATCATTATTATCATTATTATTATTATAACATGTTTTTAATATCTATACGTTTTGTGAACCTTATATCTCGTTCTTCAACTTTAATATTAAATATTAAAATGTTTTATTAATTTTTATATGTTGATCTTGTGGAAGAACGGTTATTTTAATCGAACAAGTTTATTTGTACCTACTGTACAGTGCTTTTATTTTTTAGTTTGAAATAAAGTTTATCAAATAACACATTTACAATTATTATTATCCTTATATTAAATAATTGTAGTTGTTATTTATTATTACTATGTATTATTATTTCTCTAGGAGCAGGAGGAGGGAAATGATACCTTCTCTGTTTGAAAAGAATGACAATGATGTGAAGGATGTACAACAGGATGCCGTTTTCACGAACTTGCCGCCTCTTCCAGAAAAACACGACCATGGAGGATAATCAGCTGAACTGAATAACCGTTAGAAAAAGTTATTATAATCGCTGTTTTATCATTGGCAACTGATAATGGTTGGAGTATACCGACACGTGTACATCAAGGCCTCTTTATTATACACTTCGCCTATAATGAAACCAACTGTTGTGCTGTTACAGTAGGCCTATCTACAATTATTAGGCCTAATATTGTTGTTATTATTTTTATTGTTATCATCATCATTATTATAATTGTTAATAATGATAATAATGTTATATTTATATTGCACATTCTTCTATGCACTTTACATAGAAATATTATTCAAACAATTTCAAAGGGCTTTTGTAGGACTACAAATACTGTATTTGTCTTGGTACTTACAGAAATAAATTCGGGGTTTTTTTTATTATCATTATTATTAGGCCTATATTATTATTATTATTTGTTGAATACAAATTAAAATCCGATTTTTAAATTCAAATATATTCCATTCAATTCATTATTTAGCGTAGGTTAACTAGACACTTAAACGAAAATAGAAAATGCTTAGGAATCTATTAACGAAATTGTCAATTTTAACAAGCAATTACCCACCCCCTCAATGTTAGAGATGCTGCAGATCTGGAAGCAGCTAGACCTTGAGTAAAATTTCGCAAGATTGTATACTGTATTAATTATTTATTGCCTGTTGTCCTTTTGATTGTAGGCCTAACAGCCAGTTCCTTTAAAATGTTAATAGTTTAGTCTTGAGTCTTGCTTTACGTGAGTAAGATTTATGTAGAGCTAGGTTAGCGTCATTGTAGGCCTATTGTTATAGTTTTGTTTTCTAGACATTATTTGTAGGCATAGGCGTAGATCCGGGGGGTATGGGGATATATCCCCCCAATATTTGACAAGGGGGGATGGTCCATTGTATCATCCCCCCAATATTTTGTTTGACTATGTATGGGATAAAATGGAGCTTTACACACTTCAAAAGACTGTCACAGAAATAATTTGCAATGCAAAATATTTTTCTACGCCAGTGTCTGTAGGTCGGACCGTTTATACAATGTTTATAAATAACCCTCCACTATTTTTAATTCTGACTTTTGAGCTGTTTATTAAAAGTTAAGTTTAGTTGATTCGTTTGGTTAATATAATGTTTCCATAAACATTCAGTGTTGTTGTTTACCATTCTGTTATTAATAAATAAAATTGCTTCTATTTATTATAGTTGTATTTACTGTTGTTGATATCTTTAATTGTTGTTTACACAATGTTGTGAGTCAACAATAATATGAGTTAGCATGATGATCGGTGCATGGACCTATTAATAGGTCCATGATCGGTGTGTTAACCGCAGATAAGATCTGGGGTGTGGTTATAGTGCCTGGACCACATTTGTTGGCCTCACACTCTGGGCCTGTGTAGTTTTCTTGAATCTACTTAAAATGAAAGTCTCATGGTTTCGTTTCGATAGTCGATGTACCGTCGGTTATCTACTGCCCTCTCTCTATTCAGGGCATAGGCACCAAGGCACTAAATCAGCGTATCCGTTTATCGTTTTTAGCCATCATCGGGAATCTTTCGCGAACATTTCGCTATAGTATACCTCTACGCTTTATGTTTTTTTTTTAGGCCTACACTGCACAACAAAAATCTTACCAGTTATTTAAAAAAAATGCAGTAGTTGTCAATATTCAATTTAAATCTATATTTCCCTTTAATAACTATACACTATTAAAACATAACACAAACAATATTAGGGCTATAGAAACTTTTCCGCCGAAAGTCTATTTTTAAAAGATCTGCCCGTGTTGAGTTAACTATTTAAATATGAAATTCAACAATTCAACACCTATATAATATTAACTTTGAATTGAACATTGCATCGAGAAAAAAAGCCGCACATTGCAGAGGCACTATTGATTCCATATTCTTTGCATTATTATCGACATTAAAAAGAAAATACCTATCCTACTGGACTCTGTTGCCCCCTATAAGTACCTCATTGCTACTCTATGACTAGAAAATTCGCGCTGGCCTGGTAACTGGTTTATAGCCACAGTGTGCAATGGCAATTTGACAGTTAAGTTAATAGGCATATAACAGTACCATAAAACACTCCTCTGGTGGTTTCCAATGAATTAATCGGTGCAGCATGTTATCGTGTTGTCATAACAAATTAATTTAAGCTTACCAATTGCTTATCAATTGATTTATCATTTGTACAGTTTAATCAACGTTTTCATATACCGTACGTACCGTACTGTGGGTATATTTTATTTATTTATTTTTTTATTTCATCTATTTATTTATTTATTGAAAATCTCGTGGAAAAAGAGGGGGCGCCGCAAATGTCTGAATATAACTAACATTACGATACTAACAATTACACTCAACCTGGATCTGGGTCTACTGCTGTACTTTCTTTACTGCTATTGATACTGCTAAAATCACTGAAGACAATCCAAAGGTTATTAAAGGGAGAAAAGTAAATTAATTTTTGTTAAAACTTCAATGCTCACTGATTATTTTTTGCAAATGGATTTTGATCTTTACTCTCCATAACGCAGCACCCCCTAGTTCCGTGACCTCTGGTTATGATATTTACCATGTTCCGCGTGTTTGTAGACCTGGTGGCAGTAGCTATTTTGCAAAAAAAAGTACAGTCACTAGGGGTGCAACATTTTTTTACAATGCTATGTCTTTTGAATTCAGCCGGGTTGGCGACAGAATTGACCCGATCGGGGAAGAGGGTCCCAGAATAATATTACATTAATAATGAAAATATTTTGAGAAATATATACAGGAGCTGCATTTTTTTAACAAGAGACGGGCTATCACAGCAACCATTGGTTTTAGTCGCTTTATTTCTATAAAGCGATGGACTATGACAAAAGAGGTAGGCCTATCTGAGAGTGATAAAAAAGTGAGTGTGAAATTTATTTAAAAAATCAAATGGATACTTTTCGATAACGTTGATGAAGATAGCAGGAGCTATCGAAATATCCGTTTGATTTTGTTATAGCTTAA